AAGAGGTGCTGAGTATCAGAGACCATAATCAACTGACTTCCAAGTTTCATTCAGACATGACAGAATGAACTACAAAAACTGGAGAAGGTAACTTCATACAACAACTAACTCCCTCAACCTCCACTAAACCAGAAAGTTTACAGGTAGGGATCAGAAGTTAATGCATAGTTCCCAAACTAAAAAAAAAAAAAAAAAATCGCTATTCTCAACCATTTCTCAAATGGTTCATGAGGGATCCTGAAACAAAAAGAAAAAAAAAGCCAAAGAAATATTGCCTATCATTTAATCCCAGAGAGGGCTGCCCAGAGGTGGCTAGGCAGCCAGACTTCAAGAAGGCCGAGTGATTTTACACTGAGAAAAAGGAATACACGAGTATTTCACTACACAAGTGTTTTACCTGCATCTTTCAAACAGTCAGCATTTATAACCAAGCTTTTCTTAGTGAAATAGAATTTTTTTCTTTCCAGAAAAAAGCCCAAACAAACAAAACCCCCAAAACCAACACAACCTCCTCCCCAAACTACTATACGAAAGTCAGTGATACAACTCATAATAGTAAAGCACCCTAATCGAAAGCATTCCAGTCAGTTCTGAAAATGCATTTTATTATTAAAAACTGTTTAAAACAAGCTTAAACTTTAAAAAAAAAAGACAATAAACATTAGTTAACACATAAGAAATCCTTCTGAAATAAAAACACACATAAGATTATAGAACAATCAGAGAAACAAGTGCTCCACTGTCTAGCATGTTTTAGCCTAGCAATCTCCCAACCTATGTTAGAATGTAAGACCTAGATTCTTAAGGTACCTGCAGCACTCACCACCTTGGAGGAATTTATTAATGTATTAATTAGTTAATTTTACACAGGGGATATTGACCTAGACAGCATGAATGCCCCTTTGTCTACAGAGAGCAGGCTTCCTGTTCTGCGACATTCCAGTTGTGGTTTTGTGTTCTAGAATAACACTGTCTATCAAAGTTCAAGCAGCCTCACTTCAGACTCCATCCAGACCATCCACAGCTGTGCAGACAATGCAGTCACACTGTGCTAAAAGCAATTTCAAGTACGTTAATTAAATGAATTTAGAAATAACTCCAAACTCCTACTAGTATTGTTCTACTAAGTGTATCCAAGCCAAATACAAACTCCTGAAGACAAAACACACTAGTGGCATCACTTTAATGCCAAATACACCTAATTCTATCACAAAATGCTCCATCCACTCAAATTTGGAAGAGGCAAGATACAAGATGTAGCAGGGATGAACATGTGTACCTTGTAGAATAGCATGTATTCTAATGCCAAGTCTCAGCATGTGTCACACAGGTCAAAACACATTTGACTAAGGAGAAAAAAAAAAAAAAAAAAAAGAGTTTAACAAAAGGGCAAAAGGCTTTCCCTGTATTTTCATACTAAGAGCAGACCTAAGCAGAACAGCTGATCTAATGAATTGCATTTCAATTTAAAATTCATCATGACTTACACACAAAGGAGCTCTCCTGTCATCACTGAGAAGAAAAACCTATGTTGAAGTGGAATGACATTATTAGAATTGTGAGAATAACCTTCCAGACCAGGAAATTCTCAGCCACTCAGCATCCAAGTTAGTGGAGTGGCCAGAAAGCAAATATCCAATTCGTATTTAATGCCCATCATGGCCAGCAGCAGCAAAGTCTTCCTCATCTGTTATCTCTTCTTCTTTGTTTTCCACCAAAGCACAACCAATCTTATCCAAGTAGCCCATCTGCTCTTATCTACAGGTAACTCCTAGATGTCTATAGTAACCTCCTTCTAGATTGTAAGGCCAGCCCAAGATGCTAGGTAACTTTGGTGCACCTTAGAGTTAAACACCTAATGTGCTAGAATTGTTTTTTTCAGATTTTTACAGGGCAAACCTGTCATTTATTTCAGTGAGCTTAATCCAGCCATAAGTGGCATTCCTACTCTTAACAGAATTCTTCCTGAGACAGAAGACTTCCTCTGATCCAATTCTCCACTGTCTCTACTGAAGCCCCTGTGTTTGAACAGGTTTCTGGCCAACAAAACCAGAAATCTGAGGAGATAGATTTACTCATTCCTTGAGTGAGTTTTCTTCTTTGTGTTTTATAGCACAGCTACACCTCCTTCACAGCGGCTGGTGATCATGTTGGCAATTTCAGTCCAACTGTCTGTGTGAGGGTTATAAACTTCAACAGAGTCAGAGGTTACTGGAGCAGCAAAATCATGACTGGCAGCTCGGCCTCCCGAGGCGTAAAGAAATCCATTCAGAGCCACAACACACACACCAGCTCTTGGTATCTTCATTGATGCAACTTCAACCCACTTTTCCTAATGAGAAGGTGAAAGAGTCAACAAGTAGTTTTAATCAAGCCCTGATGATGATAAAAATAGCTTTTAAAGCTTCAAGACTGAAACATATAGAAAGAACACTACGCAGACAATTCACAGGCTCGCATACGCTATGTGTACAAGCATCAAGAGAATTATCAAGACTGCAATGACAGGTCTTCACAGGTGGCTGAAATCATGCTAGACACTACAGAATAAATCACATACTGTCTGTATACAGCAACCCTCACATTCTTTGGTCACTGCAAGAAGCATCTGTCTCCACCACAGAGAACGGTACACATTTTGAGGTGAGAAATAAGAAAAACTAGATTCAATCCAAAAGGAAACCAGAAAGGCACGCTGGATTATGCTCTGCTTTTAACACTAGCTACCATTCCAAAGAGCAACACAGAAACATCAGCACTAATAGCCAATAATTTCTTACCTTATTCAAAACCTGGAGTGTTCAAAGTGTTTTTTCTAGTCATGCTGAAATGCCACTGCATTTTGTTGCAGAAGAAAAATCTTCAAATTTTGCAACATAGGGCAACTCTTACTTTTTCAGGGATTTTTCTCTCTCTCATCAGATTATTGACCATTCTATTGCAGAGGAGGAAATCTATCCTCCCATCTCAGCCCTAACAAGAATTTACCAAACTACATTATATCTATACATCATCAGTATTGGTTAGCTTTCAGTTTCCCAAAAGCATGCATACAATCTTCATAAGCATTTCACCAAGTCAGAGGGTGAGACTCTACAGACTAGTTAGGACAGACAGACCCTGAGGTCACTGAAGTTTTGCTTCTCTCAGATTACCAGCATTCTTACACAAAGTTGGTGCAATCTACATTTATAAAAGAAAGGGACTCCACCATACCTCTTCAAAGGAGTATCTTTCTACAGTAGAAAGTGCATCCTGAGATTCATTCCAGCCTCCCACAGCATAGATACAATCGTTGAGAGCAGCTACACCAAGATATGCTCTTCGGGTGCCCATTGGAGCAAGCTCAGACCAATGTTTAGATATTGGGTCATAGACTTCAACAGAACATAGCTCTACTCCTTCATTGCTGATACCACCAACAACATAAATCAAACCTGGA